TTTAGGTATATTTGAATTCTATGCTTTCTAAACTAATAAGATTTTTTTTCATTAAAGGGTACTGTAGAAGAGGTGTCAAACATGTCACTGCATCTGGCTAATGTCTTCCCCAACCCCCAAATAAATAAAAATGCAATAAAGCATAGATAATGTTAATACGAAATTTTCTAAGTTAACATGCGCCTGCAGGGATCCTTATGTATAGTATAGTATTGTGGTCTCCAGTTTCTATTTGAGTTTGACATCACTGCTGTACAATATACATTATTTATAAGAAATTCTGTGGTACAATAGAATGAATGGTGCATTTGAAGTTAGGAGATCTGGATTTGAATTCCAGCCCAGCTACTTGCCATCTATATAATTAGGAGTATGTCTTTTTTGGGGGACACTTCTCTGGGCCCCAGTTTCTTTAGCTGGGTGGCACAGTGGAGAGAATGCTGGGCCTGGAGTCTGGAAGATCTGAGTTCAAATCTGGCCTCAGACATTTAGTAACTGTGTGACCCTGGGCAAATCACTTAACCCTGTTTGCCTCAGTTTCCTCACCTGTAAAATGAGCTGGAGAAGAAAATGGCAAACCACTCCAGGATCTCTGCGCCAAGAAAACCCCAAAAGGGAATCACAAAGAATTGAATGCTGCTAACAACAACAAAAAATTTATCTGCCTTTTCAAATGTCATCAGAATTCTAAGATGGACTCAATTGATATGTAAATATTTTATAAATTTGTCTTTCCTCACTGGGAAGCAGTGTGATGTAGTATGGTAGGTATAGAATATATATATACTTAGATTCTGGAAAACCTGGGTTCAAGTCCTCTTTCTGACGCACATTGGTAGTGTGATCCTGAGTAAATCACTTAGTGCTCTACACATCTTTCTAAGACTATGAGTTACAAAGGGGCAGCCTGCATGGGAGAGAAAGTTTTTTCAAGTCAGGAATTCTCTATCTCCCAAGCCATCCATCCCTTCCTTTGCTCCTATACTTTGGTGGCTTTACTCACCTCAATCTCTGCACACTGTTATTCTCCCAAATTGCTGTTCTCTCAAACTTCTAGCTTTCCCCTTTCCTTCCAGAGCCATAGAACTTTTCTTCCTTTCTCTAGCCTGTGCCAAATGAAATGTAAGAAAAATAACTTTACCTATGATTTTGCTTATGAGTGTCTCATCTTCATCCTACCTCAGGTTATTGCATAAGCCTAATTCTTAAACTAAAGCCAGTAGGGGAGATGCCAAAAGAAAAGGAAAAGAAGCAGCCATCACCAGGACTTCCAAAGGGCCCCTAGCTGAAAGTCAGTCCATTTTTCTCCCCACATTTTTTCATTTGACTCAGAACCGTATCCAATTATTGTAAAAGGTTTCAGTGTTAGAACATAATAATCTGTTGCTAAGAGAAGGAAAGGTGGGGGGGTAACATGGGGAAAATACAGCATTATTGCATTGGGTGATATAAACTTGAAGAACATCCCATTAATTACAATGTTAATTTTATAATAATATAATAGATATAATAAATATAATTTAATAACATTTATTTGAGTCTTCTTGTACAAAATGACTAATATGGAAATGTTTTACATAATTTCACATATGTAACCTATATCTAATTGCTTACTGTCTCAGAATGTGGGGGGAAGGATACGTTTTGGAACTCAAAACTTTAAATAAAAATGTTAAAAATATAATACAATATATGATATGATATGATGTAATATAACATGACATAACATGACATAACATAACTAAAATGATATGATATAATAAACATAATATAATGTAAATAACATCAGGGCATGTAGGTGGCCCAGTGGATAGAGTGCTGAGCCTAGATAGAGTCAGGAAGACCTGAATTCAGATATAGCCTCAGACACAATTGGTTGACTCTGGATAAGTTATTTAACCTCTTTGCCTCAGTTTCCTAATTTATAAAATAAGAATAATAATGGCACCTACCTTCTAGGGTTATTGTAAGGATAAAATGAGATAGTTGCGAAGCTTTTTGATAGCTCTTATGCACATGCTGGCTATAGGTACTGTTGCACATAGAGATAGCTTTCTCCCTCTCCTCACCCTTCCACCCCCTTCCCTTCCCATAGTCAGTCCATCTTTATTTCAGAAGGAATTAAAGGAGAGGAGACTCTTTGGCTGGAATCTTCCCATTACACTGTTTAGACGCAGGATGGCGCCCTTTGAATGAGCAATTACTCCAGACCACTCATGCCTGAACAATGCCCCATCTCCCTTACGAAGCCGGCTATTTCTAAGGGCATTTTGATGATTCTGACCACAGGTCTGACCTGTGCCCGGACAATGGCAGTAATTCAGCAAGAATGCAGCTATTGCAATGTTAGCTTGAAGAGTGGGTGGCACATATCCTGTCCATATAGATTTTTTACGAATTTGGAAGATTTCAGGGTACCAAGCTTTTACTAAGGAAAGTGGTGATAAATGCATAACCATCTTTTCTATTCTATTGTTTTCTTTTCCTTTCCTTTTCTCTT